AATTAAACGTCTTTAACGAAATAGCTTTCTGCAATTGCATTCAATATATTCACGTTCTAAATACATTTACCAATGATGCGCAATTCGTATATCAGCCGTAACTAAAAGTATTAGTATAAATTAACGTAAACTAATTGCAGCTGACGTTATCTCTTTCTTACATCAGCGAGGCCTTACAACAATGGATTGCAGCAAGCCACAATGATCGCTGATTCGTATGGGATACATATTTTGGAAATTGGTCTTCTTGATACCGCTAGCAACATCATGGCAATGGATTAAAAATATAATGGTTAACTATAAAGCCGATTAGATGGCCAAGATCTCTCTTGGACAGGAAGATAGCGGGTTCGAATCCTGCCTTGGCGTATTCGTCTGCATGTATGTGCTGTCCTTTAACTCTCGCTATCATTCATCATTTCATTTCACAAAATCCCAGGATAACCCTGGGGGATAAAAATTGGATCCAGCTAAATTGTGACCTCCTGGTAATGTTACATGCACCTACCTCTGAGATAATAGAACTGAGCCCCGGTAAGTGCAGGGTGCATACAACCATGGTCTAAGTCGGCTTATTTGCGAGAAAAAACATTAAATATAGTTTTTTCATTAAAATGACTTGTCTTTACAAGCATTACTTTCGAACCTCACTTCTTAATAAGCAAAGCGAGGTCGTCTATTTTTCAAATATTTAACTTTATTGAAGAATGCAATTTTAAATAGAATTGAATTATTTCTAAAAGAAGTATTTAAAAACCTATAACAAAATCTCGAATATAAGAAACTAACAAAGAAACATGAAATAATATGAACATTCTAACTAACGTAGCATCCAACTTCCTGGCAACACCATTTATTTTACGTTCACGAAGTGCAGTAAATTTAGAGCAGACGACTTCGTTTGACTCCAAATTACACAAAAATACTCATATTTTTTGGAACCCTTCCCCTCACCTCATTTAAAGATCTGTTCCGATGGACACAAACGATATTCAAAGACTAAACCTAACCGTCATGCACTAGAAATCCCAACTTATTATCCTTATTCTTCCACAGTTTAGGCGGACGTTCTTGACGTCGGCGTCTCAACGTTAGTTGTAATATTCTTGTTGAAACACACATAGTTCATAGATAACACACACTATTCAATCATTTCATCGCCC